TGGGACCTGCTGTTGTTGCATGATGTCCAAACCTGTATATTTTAAAATAAAAATGTGAATTTGCTGTATTACTGTACACATTGTAATTGATCAAATATTTGACAACAGGCTTTCCTTTTCTTTTCTTTGTGAATACTACTCCAGGGTGCGGTCTGTTGAAAAACTGAATATTATTCTCATGACTATGGAAAAAAACGCATGAACATTTGATTTTGTCTTAAACCTTTAAGTTGTGGTTTTTGCATTGGAGGGTCTGAACGTTACACTTTTGACAGTGAAGAGATTTTTTTTCTGCCGCTCGCAGGTCTGTCGCTGGGCGCTTAGAAGAAAGTTACCGAATGTGTTTTCGCCGGATGTTGAAGCGATATGATGAAGCATTTTAAGCCTTTGTCTATATGCACTGATCTCTCTGCTGCGCGTGTGTGTGTTTGTGTGTGTGTGTGTGTGCGTTTATGAACGTGTGACTTGGTTATTGCCAGTCAGTTTAATCTACTGAAGATCTACATCCACCGAGCACTTCCTCCTCCTGCTCCTCCTCAGGCGTTAAATTTCTCCACTGCTGTTTGTTTGTTTTCCATCTCTCATGTCTCCGTCCTCTCAACATAGCCAAGCAATTTCTTTATTATTTCTGCTCGCTGGACTCTTATTTCAGGCCTGTTGAGTGCAGTTTTATGGTTCTGACTTGGCTAAAATGTGAAGGATACAGAGAGAGAATCAAGGAGAGAGGCTCAAACTGAGCTGCCCTGCTGAAAGTTGAAGGGTCAGATATCTTTGTCACATTGTTGTGTCATGTTGAGCTGAGCTGTGCTGGGCTGAGTGGGGCTGTGCTGATTCAGTACAAACCCCCCCCCCCCCCAATTCACTGCAGTGCATCTCACATTAGACACAGTGGCGTGAATGTGATGTGTGTCTGTTTTCCACTTAAAACATTAAAACATAATCCTTACTTTGAGATAGACGGGAGAGAATTGGCATGCATGAATGCACCTTTTTAAGCTAAAAGACATGAAATCAGATTTTTGCTGAAAAGATGCCTTTATTAAAAAAAATTTCTGACACTATGGAAGTATTTGATACTGTAGAGCATTGAGAAATAGTTGTTTAAAATTGTGTAAATTCATGGAATTTATTGAATTTATCAGAAAATTATGTGTTATATTTTGATCATATGATTAGAAAACCTTTTTGTATGTGAATGTTGTGTTTGGTTTGGGCTACATCAGTTTAATGACTTGTAATTTTTCACTGTATCTCAAATTTTTGGCTGTAATTTTCAAAATAATGGTCAGGCGTTTATACAATTCAAAAACATTAGACATATGGATAAGGAAAAGTGAACACTCCACTTAGATGTGTCAGTGTGACAGTGTGTGTGCATGCCCCCGTTGATGTGCATGTGGTGGGTGGGGTGGTTGAATGTGCCACCCTGTCATCTGGTGGCAACTACAGGCTTTGCCAATGCAACAGTGTGGGTGACATTGTGGCGGCTTGTGCCGCGTTGTCTCAATTTTTTTTTTTTCCTCGAAACGTTATTTCTTCACTGGCAGCATTTCTGCATATGGGCTCACTCCATCCTGCTGTTGTTTTCATCATTACTGCTGATTTTTTTTTAAATTAATTTTTATTCTGTTCCTCTGGTTGTACTTGTAACTGCAGTAATCCTGCTGTTTTTTTGTTTTTGTTTTTATTAAAGTGTGGGGTGGAGTAGTGGGACTGATGTCAACCGCTCACGACGCTGTGAAGAAACCACTCTGATGAAACATCTCCATCTTTTGCTGTGCTTACTTGAAAACAAAGGGGGGAGATTTTTTTTTAAAGCAAGGTATAAAAATAAAATAGGCATTTTATGGAAAGTCAGACGGGGTGGGAGGTTGGGAGGTGGGTGGGGTGAGGGGCATGAAAAGACAGAGTCTGTTTTGAAAAAGGACAATCACTGTCTGGGGAAAAACAAGCAGATTTTGAGTGAGACATATTTGCTCCCCCTTGAGTTTAAAACTTTTCTTTGCTTTTCTTTTATGTTCCTTTTTCAGATTTAGTCATTTTTTAGCTTTGACAATCATAGATACTTTGTTTTTCTCAAGGGGAGTAAATTCTAATTGTGTTTAGTTTTGTAATTTTTTGGTGTGCTGTTGTTGACATTTTTAAATTGTGTGCAAATTGCAATAAATTATAAGAATCTTGAAATTCAACCTATGTGTAAAGTTCTGCCTTGTTTTTTCTTTTTCTTGTACGAAATGGAAGCAGTCACGGCTAGTCTTTTATGTCATAATGTGTAATTTTTCACCTTGAGTTTCACCTCGGGTTCTTTATCACTATTAGATCAGACTGATAATTAAATATTCAAATGTAACATTTTAAAGAACATTTCTGTGTGTGGACAATTTGATATAGCTGTCTTATTTCAAGCTCACACAGACACACGCACAGTTAGAGGTTGTAGAAGGGCTAGTACATGAGGGCTCGGCATCCTGTTACCCAGTGCCTTGTGATGTGGGTGGAAATCGTGTATATGGTTGCGTGTGTGCATGTTTGTGTGTGTGAGAACCCTCGCAGCAAGCCGACACAGTGTGATGGCCTGAAACTTGTGCTGTGTGTCTGTGTCTACTCGCTGTGTTTTCGTGTGCCTGTACAAATCCTGACACTGTATATTTGCTGCACTGGCCGAGGTGTGTAGGCTGCATTTGAGAAGAAAGCGTGCAGCAGCTTGTTGCAGTCCAAACCCCTGCAACACACACACACACACTTCTTCCAAAGCTCCTAGAGTTTTCTAGTAAAGAAATCAGCTTTAGCTAATGTCTAGCTGCTCAGTAAACCTGCTCCTGCAGATGCATTCAAAGCCCCTGCACTCAGAGGCCAAGGAGCAGCGCTCATTAGGCCACAGATGGTCCCTTCGGTAAGCCCCCGATGCACACTCACACAGTAAGCTCACTTCTAATCTTTATGATATGTCCTCTGTCTGATTAATGCCTAATATTGATTTAAGAAACTTAGAAGTGATAAAAAGATTCAGTTTGGTGTATGTTTCAGGCAGGATTTAAATATTTTTTAATATTTAAATCCTGTAAACTTTCATGTATTTCTAATGATCAGGAAAGCAATTAGTTTAAATATATTTATCTTACTATTAAACATGTTTTACAGTTTTAAGAGCTGCTTCAGTTCAGTGTAAAAAAAACCCCCAATTATGTAAAACGTCGTGTTTGAGGTACCTGCTCTCTGCTTTCAGTCGTCATTGCAGACGCACAGCAGACATTATGATAACTGCTGTAGGAAATACAGCAACCCTGTCCTTTGCCTGTGCACTGCTTGGTGATCATTAATTGCAATCTGCAGTGTTGTAAGTGAACATCTGCTTGTAGACAACTGCTCTCTCTCTCTCTCTGCAAAGAGGCCGTGTGAGGTTTGCTGTGAATGTAGGTCATTAATTTGTTTCTGTCCTTTGTTTACTTAAGGAAGGGGGACAAAGGGGCAGCTGCAGAACCATTTGGCTGTGCCCAAGGCGGGCCAGCTCAACATGTTGGGAGGCTGAGACCAGCTTGGGCTCCTGTCTGGGGCCTGGGCCCCTGCACTCTGCTGCATTGCGTGAGGGAGCGTCCTGTGCCAAGCTGCCAGGGAGGGCTCCCATTCCAGGGGAGGGAGGAAGAGATAAAGAGGAGAGTGTCATGTGGACTCAGAATGTCCTGATGTTTGACTGTTGTGTCACATTTTTAAACCAGTTTCCAGCTCGTCTCTCTGAACTGACATCTGCAAGTTTGGCTGAGAAAACAATCCCATAACTTCTAAAATCAGCTCAAGACAGATGTTCCCATCTAAGAACTAAAAACAACACCAGACACTTATTTAGCTTCTTGTAACAGTGTATTTGTGTATGATTGGTGGAAAAAAAATGGTGGAGCCTGTTTATATGTGGCACCCAAGAACACCTTTTAATTTGTGTACATGAAAAATGACACAGGTTAAATATATAGGAAGAACAAAGCTTTGTTCCAAAGACAACAACAAACAGGATCCCAGCTTTTAGCCTTGACAAAACAGCCACTCCAGAAAGCAATGCAACTGTAGTAGCATTCATTCAGCGCTTTACGCCGTACTAACCGGGAGAAAAGCCCTCTGTATCCTTTTCATGTCTGAGACTTGTTGATTCTCCATGAAAAAGGAAACACTCCCAGGCCAGGTCTAACCACAGAAGAATTGATAGAGAGAGAAAGAAAAAAAGGGACAAGTGTGTGTGTGTGTGTGTGTGTGTGTGTGTGTGTGTGTGCACGCACAAGTGATTGAGGATTGTCTGCATATTTCAAAGAGCCCCTTTGTCAGACATTCAGCACAGCAGGACAGAAGGCAAGCAACAAGCGGCCTGCCTGCAAGCAGACTTTTTTTACCCTCTGCACCCTCCTCCCCCTTCCTGAAAACAAAAGGCAACGCAACTTGAACTTGAATATCTGTCTCTCTGTGGCGATGGGGGCGTGAGGGCACTGCACACCAGTTCACATACACATACATGTAAGAGCACACACGTGACAAACACAGGTTTATATAACCCGTCATCTACCACACACACACACACACACACAGACACACACAAAGGCTGAGCTATGATGGGATTAAACAGAACTTGTCCTTTGTGTGATTCTTGTATGGAAGCAGAGCAGCCCTGAGCTCTTGACATAAGAGACAGATCAGAAAAGAGTGAAAGAGATGGAGAGACATAAGTTATTCAATTTGAAGGATTCGTTTGGAAAAAAGACACATCTGAGATAAACAGACAATCAGATTTAAGGTTAAAGGAACAATGAAGCCTTGCAAAAAGAAATGAAACCTCCTCTGCCCTCCATACTTCTGCCTTCCTCTCCCAGCTGTGTGTG